TAACCACACAGCTCATCAATCTCTCATCACTAAAACCATTAGCCCCTTTTCAAAAAGGGATCATCTTGTTGCTCTGAGATCTTGGGATGTGGAGTGAGTGACTGATAAGGGCCACACAGGATGACAGTTTTCTGCTTAAAGTGTTTCAGATGACCTTGTTTTCTTGAGATGCTGTGGTAGTATTTCAGTAAGTGCCATGGAAGTGGTTATCATACTACAGGGTATGTGCCCTGTTTGTGGTTAAATTGTGGTATTAGATGAGAAAAGTCATCTCTTTCCTAGAAAATCAACTCGAGATGGTTCACTCCATGAACTGCATCATCCGGACCCAGCAGTGATGTTTCCCTCAGTTTTCTTCTTTGAAAAGATGCATGAAACCACCTTTGCTTATTGAATTTGCCTCATAAGGAGAGAAGAAAGCTTCTAGCTGGGCTTTAATTACAGCTCTGCACATGCTCCTGGCCTGATTGAAGTTTGCTTTACTCCAGAGAAGGGGCGCGATGCTTTTCCGCAGTGCTGTGTGCATCTTGGTTAATTGGGAAAAGCCAGGTGTAGGGTACCTGGAGCTGCCTCGGTTGCTCTTGGAGTGGCTGGCAGGATCAAGGGCTGGGGAGGGTGGTGGCCAGCTGCTCGCTGTGGCCTGCTTTTCCATTGGAGCACAGCCCTGCCCTCTCAAGGTGATTCTCAGAAGTCAAGGTTGAGCCCCGCTGCCCTCACTTCCGGTGCCTCCCCGCTGGCCCCGGCCCCTGGGTCCTCCCCAAGGCTGCAGTGTGCTGAACGTTCAGGGAGGGACCAGAGCTGCTCTTGGGAGGAAGCCAGGCCTGGCGAGAGCATTGTCTCCTCCGAAGCACTCCTCACAGGCTGGAGGGGAGGCCAGGCCTTGGCTCTGAGAGCCTCTGGGCTGTTACTCAGACACACTGTTTTCTTCTGATGGGAACAGAGAAACCAGGGTCCTGATACCGGCCACTTTTACAAAAGGTGGCAGAGACGCTTAGACAAGTCAACTCAAACTCCAGTGCTCGATCCTCATGTGTTAAGTTATGCTGCCCCCTGCCCCCCACCGCTCCTTTTTTTATCCTATCTCTTTTGAAGCCAAGGATATTCAAGAATTAAAACTTTCCATGTCCCCAGTTAGGACATCTGATGAGGACTGATTTTCATCTTGTGAACAGAAGACTTTTTTTCCTGCAAATAAAGCATCAGGTCTAGATTTAAGGAACAAGAAGCAGCACCTTGAACTCTGTGGTTAGTTGAGCAGATATTTGTTCAACATCTCCTATGTATGAGTACCCCCTGTGCTGGATTTTGTGGCTGAGGGAGCTGCAGCCAGTGCTGCCGAGAGCTTAAGACAGAGCCAGTGACACAGGGCTTAAAGATCACATGAGCAGATAGGTGTAAGTCTTGGAAGGGTAGGCCCTGAGGCAGGAGACCAGGCTTGAGCTGGAGTGCTCATGGGGGCAGTCATGAAGAAAATAGAATTTTAGCAGACCTTTGAAGGATAGAGAAAATTTTGAGAGCTGGAGACAGCATTGCAGTTCAGTAATGGTTTCCAGCAGTTACTGTGGTTATCTTTTCTACCAGGCTGGGTGATATAAGCCTTCCACACTTCATCTCATTAACTTCCCATGACAGGCGGAACAGGAGACAGTCTTTATCCTATTTGAGGAGTGAGGAAACGAAGACCTAAAGAACTGCTGTCTGTTTTTGTAAATAAAGTTTTATTGGTTTCCTGCTTTATGGTATTTAAGTGCGCCGCAACCCCACCCCCACCCCCACCGCCATTGGTGATATGAAAGAACTACAAGTTTCTTTTTTCTTTAAGTCTACCTTTATTTGGGAGGCTTCCCAGGTGGTGCAGTGAAAGAATCTGCCAATTCAGGAGACTCAAGTTCGATCCCTGGGTCGGGAAGATCCCCTGGAGGAGGAAATGGCAACCCACTCCAGTATTCTTGCCTGGAGAACCCCATGGACAGGGGAGCCTAGCAGGCTACAGACCTTGGGGTTCCCAAGAGTCGGACACTACTGAGCCCAAGCACTAACTAACTTATTATTATTGTTCCTTAAAATTTCTCTGGCTGAGAGAGCTCTTCATTGTGACGTGGGGGCGTAGTTGCCCCGCAGCATGCGGAATCTTAATTCCCGGACCAGGGATTGAACCACGTCCCCAGCTTTGGAAGGAGTCTTAACCACTAGACCACCAGGGCGGTCCTTCAAGTCTCTGTTTTTAAGAGAGGGCTTCTGTGATCAAAGACTTTACATTCTCTTCTGGTGTATTTGAAAACATTTGCTCCTTCTTACTGTCAAGGGGGAAAAGTACATGTACTTAGAGCAGATGCCCAGGAGTGCTGTTGAGTGCGCTTTGAAGTTTCTACGCTGTCTCTATTTGCTGCTCCTGTGATCAGAAACATCAATTCAGGAAACAGCCCACTGGGCTCAAGGTGCGGCGGAGGTGGGGGTACAGTGCACTTTTATAGAAGAGAAACAGATTTTGCCCTTGGAGAATGTATCCTACCTGGGAGAGGATCACACCTGTGACCTGGGCTTCTTTGTCTCCATCCTTTAATCCAGTGGAGTTCCAAAAAGTTCTTTTTCTGTACCCTCCAGCGCAGAAGGTAATTTATCAGTTCCTTCATAGGATAGAAGGAAGAGCAGCAAAGAACACTTGAGTTCTGTCTCCCCTCAGGTTTCCAGCCTAACAAAAGTGCCACACACACTCTCTCTCTGTCTGTCTGTCTCTGCTTTAAACTCAGGCTTTATTTCATAATTGCTGGGACTTGTAATAGGTCTGTATGCAGTATGCTTAACTGATATGACTTTAGAAAGGGAAAGACCAGAAAGATACTACACCTTCCAATAAATTCTCTGTGGGTCTGGTTTTTCGAAGATAGTAGAGTATAGCTTACATGTGACCTGTTTTCAAAAAATCTTAACATAGTACTGTAAAAAATTAAAACAGAACCTTTGAAAATAATTTAATCCAGCCTCCTCCTCTTAGAGTAAGAGATGATCAAGGCCTAGGGGGATTTAGGTGGCGTGCTAAATTCTGCTCCCTACTCCTGGATTATTTTCATTATAAAATGATGTGCTCTGACTCACTGTGCTTGTCTTTGGCCACATAACTCGTGCTTTTTTCAGGTGCAGAAGGTGACAATGCAAAGCAAAAATAACAGAAAGGAAGTTAGTAGAAGGAAAGTCAGATTGAGTGAGGCAGGGTGTTGAGAGTGAGTACAGTGGCTACAACCACTGCTAGCTTCTATCTCTGAGGTCAGACTGGATGGAAGTTGAACTGTTTGTCCTCAGACCCTTGTGATCAGCTGATGTTCCCTGGATGCAACCCTCGCCCCCAGTCATGCTCTGTGGGAGAGCCTTGAGTTTCTCTTGTGTCTCAGTTACTCTTTCTCACAACACTGGTAGGCGAACTGTTTCTTACTGGAATCAGATAGCATGGAAGGAACCATTGGCTCCCACTCCTAGTTGCACATTCCAGTTGCCTTGAGTGTGTTGTGAAAGGCCCCACAGTGGCCTGGAGGAGGCCAGGCATTAGTCATTTTTAAAAGTTCCCCCGGTGAGCCTATCATACAGCTGGGATGGGAACCACTGTTTAAAGCCAGTGGTTGTGAAATATCAGTTGCATTGAAAATCACCTAAATAGCCTGTTTTTACACCATGGAATTTCACACCCAACAATGTCTGATTTGGTAGGTCTGGGGTTGGGCCCGAGATTCTGTATTTCTAGCAAATTCCTGGGTACTCCTGGGAGAGGCTGCTGTTGGGTGGGAACCACATTTTATAAACCACAGTGTTAGATTCTCTGGAGTTTTGGTTCTGACAGTCCAGCTGGGGCCCTGGCATTTGCATGTCATTTGAGTTCCCTTGTGATGCTCATGCAGCTGGACTGGGGAACATGCTAAGAACCATACACTGAGGCTCCGGGACCGGTTCCTCGTGTGGGATCCACGGATGAGCTCAGGCGTGAGGTAGACCACCTCTAATTTCTCCTCCCCTGCCCTGTTGACCACCAGAGGGAGGGCCGCCAGGAACACTTGAGAACGCCAAAGCTTCAGAAGGAGGTGGTGAGCTGCAGTCTACATGGAGAAAGAGGCACATCTCATGGGTGTCTGGCTGGCTGGAACGTAGTGGGTAGACAGTGTGGACATGCACAGGGGCTCGGATCACACGTTCCCTCTGGAACAGGTCCTTAGGTCTCCCCCAGCAGGTAATGACCTGGTGTGGCAGCTGAGGCCCCCACGGAGAGCTGGTGACCCTGCACTCTGCCCCCCCCCCCAAGTCAGGGTCCTCTCTGTGGCCCCACAGTGCCCACTCTGCTGCAGGTGAATTCTGCATTGTGGGCACAGCTCAGTTCTCGGAGGTCTGAGCCATGGATCTGCAGGTGACGCAGGAAACAGTGAAGAGGCTGAGGCTGGGCTCAGTTGCCCCAGGCTGGCAGCAGTGCTTCTCCTAAGTGAGGGCTCTAGACCAGCCTGAGGTTCACCTGGGAACCTGCGAGAAATAGGAATTCTTGGGCCCCACCCCAGACCTGCTGGACGCCCATCCCATCTGCCTTTCGACATGCCCTTGACTTCATTCTGGGCCTACACATTCAGGTTTGAGAAAGCCAGTCGTTTCCCCCGAGGCCGTGGCAGGGCAAGACCCTGATCTAATCAGAGAGGAGCCCACAAATGTTTGGATCCCTTGGGCCTCAGGATTGGGGAGGTGCTTGTGACGGAGGGTTCTGAAGAAAGGCGGCCTGGCCAAGAAGGGCCTGTGGAGGCGGCTGCCATGGCTCCGGGCCCACCCCTCAGGAAACTGAGTCCCTCGTGGACTCCCCCTGGCTCACCCTCCCGTGTCATCACAGTTTTCTTGCCCAGAGCACCCTTGACTCCGCACAGCCCACAGTCTGCACAGACTCTCAAACTATGAAGTCTAATTGAATAGGGCGTCTTCTGGTTCTGATTTTGTTGATGATTGGCTTTTTCTGTCTCTTTTCCTTTTTTCCCCAGTTAGTGACGGGAATATGGGAAGGCCAGTACAACTTCTTCTGTCAGGGCACACGCAGTGGAGGAGCAGCCGACATGAAGGTACTGGCTCTTAGTTTTCTTAATAAAGAAATTGTACAAGAGACAAGATGGCCGTCCAGGTAATCCCTGTGGACATATTTTAGAAAGAGTTTTAAAAGCGGTGTGCGCCTGTGGTAAGGGAAATTAAGCAGCCTGGAAAGTATAGGAAGGGAACTAAAGTCTCCCTGTCTACAAAAGTGAGTCCTGTTAACAGCTTCCAGGGAAGACAGCATGTATGCACTTACCAGTACTTGCTCTCTGTTTACACAAACAGGTTCATTGGGGTGACGTCTTTAATCATCACCTGAGTGTGATCTGTAGAGTCCAGCTTCCATACTGGAGTGTTTTTCAGGGTTTTGTTTTTAATAAAAGGCTGCAATCTACCCTCAGCCTGGCAGTCACTTCCTCAGAGCCCCCATGAAGAACCCCCTGTATGGCATTTAACTGGGCGCAACACAGCACTGGATATCTAGATTTCTTCCCCGCTCTGCCGTGTGTCCTGTCACCTGCTCCACGCCAGCCCCTGAAATCAGAAGTGCCTTTCTCATGGTTTTCCTCCTCCCGATGGCTCCAGAGGGAACAGGCAGCCTACAGGAATGTGTTAAAAGTTGTGAAGGGCGTGAAGCCCTGTAGAGCTTGCCTGCCTTCACAGCCGCCCCCCCACCCCCCCAGGTGTTCTGGTCACAGGCCCTGCAGAGAGACTAGCTTCAGCGGGGCCAGTGGGGCGGTGAAGTCCTAGGGTGGGCGCACAGCCCAGCGAGCGACACTGACGGCCCCTTCGTCCTAGATCATCCGCGTGCTGTGGTGGTACTACTTCTCCAAGCTCATCGAGTTCATGGACACCTTCTTCTTCATCCTCCGCAAGAACAACCACCAGATCACGGTCCTGCACGTGTACCACCACGCCAGCATGCTGAACATCTGGTGGTTCGTGATGAACTGGGTCCCCTGCGGCCACTGTGAGTCTGACGGCTCGGGGGCGGGTGTGGGCAGGGAAGCCCTGCGGCCACTGTGAGTCTGACGGCTCGGGGGCCGGTGTGGGCAGGGAGGCCCTGCGGCCACTATGAGTCTGACGGCTCGGGGGCGGGTGTGGGCAGAGAGGCCCTGCGGCCACTGTGAGTCTGACGGCTCGGGGGCGGGTGTGGGCAGAGAGGCCCTGCGGCCACTGTGAGTCTGACGGCTCGGGGCCGGTGTGGGCAGAGAGGCCCTGCGGCCACTGTGAGTCTGACGGCTCGGGGGCCGGTGTGGGCAGGGAGGCCCTGCGGCCACTGTGAGTCTGACGGCTCGGGGGCAGGTGTGGGCAGAGAGGCCGAGTTGAAACTAAGGCTCTGAGAGGAAAGGTGCTGCTTCTGCAGGTCTCTAGGTCAGGCCTTTGACCGTGGTGTCCAGACTGCCTTTAATGACACTCCGCGTGGCCTGTGCACCCAGCAGGCCGACAGATCCTTTCTCTGATGTGAGGCACATCCTGTGCTGTTGTGGCAGGGTGAGGAAAGACCAGATTCCCAGCCTGGGGCACTTGAACAAATCTGGACAGAATTCTCTGTTCCAGGCTGTTCATCCTTGTGTGTGTACACATTTGGAAGGTGATTGACGGGCAGGGACGGACCAGGAAGATGGAATCATGCCAAGGAGTGGGCTCCAGAGAACAAACTTTCACTGCAGTACCTCAGGGCATCTGCACTTCCTCTGACATAGTGACCCTCATGTTTCTGAAACGTGTTTAGCTGGGCAGCTTCTGGGACAAACACCAACATTTGAAGTAAATTCTCTAAGAAGGCCCTACTCCTGTCTCAGCACTACTCCATTCAAGCACAATAGTAGTAGCAGGCATCTTCCTACTAATTCGTTTCCACCCACTAACAGAAAACAATAAATTTGCACAATCCATCTTACTATGCCTAGGGGCTATCACCACCCTATTTACAGCAATATGCGCTCTTACCCAAAACAACATCAAAAAAATCATCGCTTTTTCCGAAAGCTTGTGATCTGGAAGTCCCATAGTTTCCTAGGATTAAGTTGTCCCCATCAAGTTCAGTCCAGGAGGGCTAATATGGCCCAGTCGGAGTTCCTGATATCCATCACCAACAAACTTGATCCTCTCAGTCTGCTCACGTGTTTTCCCCCAGGATAGCACCACCCTTGATTAACTTAGCCCACCAGGATGCACATAGTCAGAGGAATCTAGAACCAGCAAGGGCTTTCCAAGTACAGCTCCTTCCACTTTGGGAGAACCCTGAGACAGTAGAAGAGTTGGTAGAGTTCACGCCCCCTGGCTGTTGGTTACCTGCCTTAACTTTCTAATAGAAATGGCACCTGCCCACATTTTAAAGTGTGTTAGTCACCCAGTTTTATCGAACTGCTTGTAACTCCAAGGACTGTAGCCTGCCAGGTTCCTCTGTCCATGGAGTTTCCCAGATAAGAATACTGGAGCGGGTAGCCGTTCCCTTTCCCAGGGCGATCTTCCTGGCCCAGGGACTGAACCTGGGTCTCCTGCATTGCAAACAGATTCTTTACCGTCCGAGCTACCTGGAAAGCCCCACTGGAAGAAGGCTTTAACTGTCAGATCCCACAGGATGACAAATGAGAAACAAGCAGAGAATGGATGTGACTTGTCCAAGGTCACACCCCCAGTTACTGTCATAGCCCAGCCTGACCACAGAGGGAGGGGAAAGCTGGTTGCTTTGCTTGGTTGCTGGCTATGGGGGCAGAGGACGGAGAGTCTGAAAAAAGACGGGTAGTTCTACTGGAAATGACAAATTGTGACGTAAATAACGGGTCTCTCATCTCTAAGGAGCTGGGCTCTAGACTCTCTCTTACTTGTAAGAATATATGGCCTCTGCACCACAGCCCTCCTCCCCAGACCTCAGCAAATATGTAGAGACGGCCAGCTTTGAGCGTCCCACCCTTTGCGGCTGTCTTTCCCCAAGGCTTCACTGCCGTATCGGAGGCACTTGGGCAGCATCCTCTGGGAGTAGGTGGGGGCCTGGCGGCAAAGCCTTTAGCTGCCAGAGCGGGGTGGGTGGTTCCTGACTCCTGGCTGGATGCCCACCTGGTAGCTGACCCTGGGCTTAAAGCCTCTTGAAGGCTGCCAGCCCAGATGGAAATTGATTTCTGATCACACACCCGTGCAGTGCCAGCTTGCTGGTGCAGTGTTTGCCTGTTCAAAACATTTTTTTTTTCATTTTTGAATTTAAAAAGAATCTTGGGTTTTGTTACCTGTCACATACGGAACACTGATGTAACCTCCTCGCCAATTCCCTCTGTTCCTACAGCTTACTTTGGCGCCACACTTAACAGTTTCATCCACGTCCTCATGTATTCGTACTACGGCCTGTCGTCCATCCCGTCCATGCGGCCATACCTCTGGTGGAAGAAGTACATCACGCAGGGGCAGCTGGTGAGTAATGCAGCCTCTTTCCACCAGGACTCGCTGCCTGGGGTACACCGAGCTCTTCCTGGGCTGCCCTTGCTGCCCCCCTGGCTTCAGTGTTGTTGACTAGCTCCTGACAGGTGCGTTTCCCATCCTCCCTCTCTCTCGATCCAGTTAAACACCTTGAAGTGAGCAGAGCAGGGAATTCCATCCATTTCAGTCGATGGAGACACCACGCCGGTGGGCAGGCAGCTAGTTGAATTGGGGAACAAAGACTAAACCTAATTCTCTGACTTTAAGTTCAGCCCTTTCTTCTTAGTTTGTACACAGAACATCCATGTGTGTCTGTGTTTTCTAATTATAATCCAAATCCAAGGTGCAATCTGTGTACCTGTGTTTCCAGGAGTGCCAGGATTTGCTGGGAGAAGCACAAGTCCAGGGTTTGCTAAGTCGATTCAGTCATGAATCGACTTTTTGCAACCCTATGGACTGTAGCCCACCAGACGAGCCCAGGGTGCTAGTAGGTTACTAGGCAGCAAGGATGCAGGTGCTGGGTGACCATTCAGCCCGTGTGGTGGCGGAGATGGCACTGTGGTGCCCCAGGTGACAGCCCCCTTCCTGGGCCCACGTCCCAGCAACTGTTTGTACTTGATGGTTATTTCCCACCATCCTTGTTAAAGCTTTCCTTGGTTGTCAGTATACTATACAGCCTTTTCCTCTCCTCTTGTGATTTCTTTCATAAACTGATTAATAATACTATCATTACTGTTCAAATGCTGACCTTCCTTGAGCTTACCACGTGCTCATGTCAAGTGAGCTGTATTGCAGGAATTGTTCTAGTAGCCTAATTTCATGTTATTATCCCTACTTTATAGAGGAGGATGCAGAGGCGATAGTCTAGGGCTAGCTGACTTGTTGACATTAGATATTAAACTCTTAGCCCTGGTCTTGCCTTCATAACACATTCTTTTCTAAGGAAACCAAGCTGATTCAGATCCCTCTGTGTCAGTTGTCATTCTTCAGTATTGAAAAATAGCCATCTGGGGGGAAAAAAAATTTGAGAAGACCTGAGCTGCTTATGTGTTTGGTGTTTCATTAGCACCTCTTTGCCGGCTTCTGGACAGTCCTTGTTATGTCCCCTCACCCACCTGTGAGGAAGGGTCACTGTTCATCAGCCTCCTCCTTACACATGAGAAGTGATGCCAGGGTTGACTTGCTGTGCGTAGTGTGGTTCTGCTGAAGCCACAGTTAGAGCAGGCTGGAGAGCTGGTCTCCTGTTGACCTCTGCCCTTTGAAGTGGAAGATTGCAGCCAGTTTGCCGGTATTTATTCTATGCGCCACTTACAGTTACTTCTCAGTCTAGAATACTTACCTTAAAAAAAGGAAACAACAGCAACAACAACAAAAAACAGTTCCCTGCATAGAAACACTGAAAGGTGGCCCGAAATCCAGTGGGCAGAGCCTGTTCCTTCACTGTCACCCCTTAAAGATGCCCGTCCAGCAGCTGTTCCTTATCTTAACCCCTTCTCGCTGTTTCCCTGCTTCCCAAGATGTACCCGTCAGAAATAATCTATGGAATTAGCATTATATCCTAGGAAGAGAGTAAGTCTGTCTCCCAACCCCAGCCTTCACCAAATCAGAAGGTCCACAGATAAGAATGGGGAAAGGGGCCCGTGGGATTACACATCCTGCAGTGAGGTTCCCGGTCCCTCTAAACATACACTCCATGCCCATCCTTGCTTTATGAAGAATAAACATCTCCTGTACTGCATTCCTGAAATGTGTGTGTGTTGGGTTTTTTAAACATGTTTCCTTTTTTCCTTCCTTCCAGCTTCATTGAAAGCTAATTCACATATAATACGGTATAAGTTTACAGTGTACAACATAAGGATTTTGATGTATGTATGTTGTAAATCTACTCCTAGCACTTGCAAATATACAATGAAAGTGTTGCTGGCTATTCCCCGAGCTTTAGAGAAGGTGACTTAAGCAGTTGGAAAGGGAGGAGTGTATACAGAAGACAAATACAGATGCATAACAGGTTTGGGATACGTTTAGCATATGCCTCATGATTTTGAAATTACCTCTGTATCTACAGAAAGGTTAGTAAGTGTCCATTCCCAAACTCGGGGGTGCAGGGTAGAGCGCCCATTTGGCAGACGCCTTGACTGTGGGCCATGGCCGCATATTCAGCTATGTCTGCTCCCCACCCAGCTTCAGTTTGTGCTGACCATCATCCAGACCAGCTGTGGGGTCGTCTGGCCGTGCACCTTCCCTCTCGGTTGGTTGTATTTCCAGATTGGATACATGATTTCTCTGATCGCCCTCTTCACAAACTTCTACATTCAGGTAAATCTCACTCTTCTGTGGTGGTTGGGATTTGGGGTCATACGTTCCTTTATTGAGGAGCCCCTGCCTTGGTGGGAGGGGGATGGAGGTGGGGTCGTTGCCACTGTGGAAGGTGCTGAAGTCTGGCCAGACCTTGGAGTTCTGGGGCTTCGGCACAAGAGGCTCTGGGTCCCTGTGGGAAAGCAGGGCTGTCCCGTTCTGCTTCCCTGGGGCTGCTGCAGACATGGCATAGTGAGTCTCAATCTCAGTCTCTCAGCCCCACTGCCCTAAACTCCAGGGCTAAATTAAATATCTGAAGAATTTTCCATTACAGTACCCAGCTACAGATAGAAATCAGCCCTTTTCCCCAGTTTTCTTACACTTCCTCTCCCCACTGCTCAGGCTTGGGGGCGCAGATCATTCCCAAGTGCACGATGTGGTGTAGGTTCCTGCCCACGGAAGGGTCTGTTTAGGGCTGATACTTTGGGGAGCCTGACCTTGTGTGGTCACTGTTGACTCTCCTACGTCCCATTACCCCTGCGTCTCGTGTGTGTCTGCTCAGCAGGGCCTGGCTCCCGGCAGGCACAGGGGCTGAACAGGAGCAAAATAAGAGGCCCTGAGCAGAGGCAGGAAAGCCAGCTCACATGCAGCAGTACCAGCCCCCTCCATGCCCGGCTGGGGGGTGCCCAGTACACTTGCCCCTCCCTGCACCCCCTCCAGACAGACACCTTTTCCCAGACATATCTGAGGTGGCAGCTCTGAGTTGCATCTTTCCTCCTGCCTGGCTGGTAGCTTGTGCTGCACCTCAGGGCAGTGACAGATACAAGGGAGGTTAAAAAAAAGATGGGGCCCAACGAAGCTGAAGTCACACCTGTTTTGACTGTCATTCATGGCAGAATGCTTTTGTAAGTAAAGGGCCAAGACAGTTGCTGAAGCCATGAGACAGTTTTGAAGGCAGAGGATGTGAGTGACAGCGGGAGACAGCAGGGCAGAGCCGAGTGAAGTGTAAATTGTGTTTTCAGTCTAATTGTCAAATAGCATCCATACCTCTGCCCATGACTCAGTGAACATACCCAGGCTGAACCTCAGAAAATGAAAGAATGATTGAAACCAGTGGCAAAAAAAAAAAAAAAAAAAAAACACACATTTTCCAGATCACTTGACCACAGACATTGCTGCTTAATATGGTAACACTGGTCCCCAGAGGCTCTAGCCCCGGCATTAGGGATGTGGCTGGGCCCCACCCCGACCCCCATCCCTGCTGTGGCCCCCATCTGCCCTTATGTGTTGCAGACCTACAACAAGAAGGGGGTCTCGCGGAGGAGAGAGCACCAAAGGGACCACCAGAACGGCTCTGTGGCCGCCGTGAATGGCCACACCAGCAGCTTTTCTTCCCTGGAGAACAATGTGAAACAGCGGAAGCAGCGGAAGGACTGAGGTCCGATGGTTGGCAGCCTCTGAACCGCATCGTCTGATTGTAAGCACATCTGAGTTGTGCCTGATGCTCGTTAACAGCTGCTGTAACTAGTCAGCCTACAATAGTGTGACTCACGTAGGACCTCTTCCATCAGTTCCAAACCCCTAGGAAACGTAGACAGATTATCCAATTAGACGTAAGATTTTTTAACATTTCTGGGCTCTCACCGACCCCTGCGCTAGACTGTGGAGGGCGTGTTATTGTAGTACACGACACTGCTGTTGCCTTATTAGTTATAACATGATAGGTGCTGAATTGTGGTTCACAATTTAATAACACTGTAATCCAAACTTTTTTTTTTTTTTTTTTTACTGTAGATCATGCATGTGATTGTAAATTTGTAAAATGTTGTTACAGTAGAGAAACACACATGCCTTAAAATTGAAAAAGCAGGGCCCAAAGCTTATTAGTTCAATTAGGGTATGTTTCAAGTTTTTATTCATTTCTAATAGCTCCGTTCAGAAAAGTCAACAACCGTGATTTATGAAACTTAACGTGTGACACAGAACTTCAGGTGACTTGTCCGTGTGAAATCGGCACCTTCAGTTTTTGTAATGTGGCTTTAAATCAGGCAGGTTCAGATCTAGTGGAACAGTCAGTTTAACTTTTTAACAGATCTTATTTTTTTATTTTGAGTGCCACTATTAATAATGTAAAAAGGGAGGGAGGAGCTAAAGCAGTCTTGATGAAACTTAAATATATATTCTTTGTCTTCAAGATTTCAGGAAGTGTGTAGGATGAGTAGGCCATTTTGAATTTCCGAAGTGTAAGTGTTTTTATACAGGAAACAAAGCCCATTTTGCTTTCCACTTAGAGAAGATGTATACTTTTCAAGAGACATGACTGAACAGTTAACCATTTGACAGAGGCCCGTAGATGAGCAGTGCGGGGGGACTGGTTGCCAGGGTCCAAATTTGGATTGATTTCTATACTGCTATCTATCTGTTTTGACACAAACTTCCTTTGAAAATGTGCCTAGCTTACCATAATGAATGGGGAGGGGTGGGGTGGGAAAGACCTTAGAAAAATTTAAGGTAAAATTAAGCAGATAGCTGCAGCATGAGAGAACTGGAGAACTGAGTAGAGATGATTTGGTTAATGTGAATCTAATAGCACCTGTAAGGTTTTTTTTTCCTGCTCCGACTCTAAAGATTTGTTTAGAAATGCTTGTTTAAAAATAAGACTGCTTATCCTAAAATCATGTCTCATACCCGAGAAGCAGTGGTCAAACAGATAAAGACTGTTGTGTGTGTGTCATTTTAAAGTGTTGGAATTTAGCCTCTGAATACCTTCTCCACTGGAGGAAAAAAACATTCATTGAACCACTCGTGACACATCTGAGAAGGTCATTGACAATGTATAAATGAATGGTTTGATATTTATGTAAATACCAGTTTATCATGCTTTAATTTTGCACATTCATATTACAGGGAGCCAGTTGGGTTCTCTTAATTAGTCTTGTGGGTTTTCTGTTTGGAAGGAGTCACGGCATCTGTTTACATTTACCTTATCAAATCTAGAATGTGTATATTTGTAAATGTATGTCTTCCTAGGTACTAGTTTGAGAATGTCTTTACATATTTCAACACAGAAACCATAACATTCAATAGTGTGCTGTCAAAGTGTGCTTAAGCTCATCTGGATATACCCACAATGTTAAATAATCTCTAAAATTAATCATTAAAACATTTTTGATTACCTGTGCTTGGTTTTACATTGTTAATATGCTACTAATTCTGAAAGACTGGAGAAAAGTCTGTTTTCTTCACCATCTAGGAAGTCACGCGAAAAAAATGATGTAAATAATTCAGTTTGGAAGGTTATACTGTGGCTCAGCTCTTATTAGGAGGGATCCCCACGTCGTTAGGCATGGTGGTGGCTGCACCCCACTTCCTTCCTCTAAGCCTTCCCTGGTTTCCATACTAAAGATCCCAGCTCTGAGCCCACTCCTTTTTGTTCCCTCCCCTCCCCCTTCCTCTCCCCAAGCTGTTAGAATTACTTTCCTAGATCTAGACCAGAGGTCTAGATTTTTTCTGTAAAGAGTCAGCTACTGCCTGTTTTAGGCTTTGCTGTCCACACTGCTCAACCACCTTTGGTAGAGCTCAAAAGCAGCCTATTACACAGGTAATTACATAGATAATATGTAAATGGTTGGCCCTGGCTGTGTTCCAGTAGAACTTTATTTGCAAAACAGAAGACCTGTGGCTGCAGTTCTGTGACCCCTAGTCTAGAGTAACAAGGGTCCACCTCTGTCAGTTTCTTTGCCAAAGACCATTTCACATCCCAGGTCCTGTCCCACACCGCACCCCCCTACCCCCCACGCCTTCCCCAGTCTGACTTACTGGGTCTGTCCATACCCACGATAGAAGTGAGGAAATGAACAGCCCTTTGTCCCTTCCGCCACTTCATACCACACGGTTCCTAGTGCAGGCCTGACCCTGGCTTTGAGTATGTTCTGATTTGTCAATATCACCTTCAAAATGTCATCAGAAACTGAATTTAGTATTGGGAATATCACTTGAGAAGTGCAGAGGCCTGTTGGGGTTCGGTGGTGATGATTACTTACATCCTTGTCCTTCCCCTCTGAGACCAGAACAAATTGAAAAGACATCAAAACCAGACTGATGGAAATCAGCATAGCTTATCTGTCACTGAGGAGGCTGGCTGGGGACACACAGACAGCACCAGGGCTCTCCAAATACCCTGTTGACATACCACGGTCAGCTCCAGCTCGCTGCTGGTTGTGGCTGCCCTAGTCTGTTGGTCTGGTGATGAACTGATGATTAAGATATTTTGAATATCAGCTCTGGAATTTACCCAGCTTTAGCTACAAGCTCCCTTTCTGTGTCGAGTTTTGTGCCCTGATGCCTACGATGCTCAATAGTATCTCCAACTTTGGCAACCAGAAAGTCGCCCTCCTCCTTTTAGAGAAGTGAGTGGGTCAGAGGGCAGAGCAGGCCAGATGGTTTCCACCCTTTTCTCTCTTCTGTATGGAAGTGGAAGGGCAAGTTCACACACCTGTATGGAAAAGGGAGGATGCCCACTTCCCCTTCTGAGCAGCCTTGCCGTTTACAGGAAAGGCAGTGTAGCCTAATGTGGGAAGCACAGCTTGGAGGCCACACTGCCGGTTGGAATCCTATCTGTATGACCTTTAGGCAAATTGCTTTAACTTGGCCTCAGTGTTCCCATCTACCCAATTGGGATAATGTCAGTACCTACCGTACAGGCTCATTACGAGGGTCAAATAGATGAACAAAGCATACCAAGCTCTTGGAGCCAAATCCAGCAAAGTGAACCACAGTGAACGCTGTGTTATCTGTTACCTTCAGTCCATACCACTGATTGCTCTAAAGATCAGCTGTTGTTTTACTGTTAGTTCCTTGACTAGTTGTTCTGACAGTCCTATCACAAAGGAGAGGAAGTTCTTGGGTAGGATACTTTGATGAATCAAAAGAGTTGAAAAGTAGACTTCGCTGGTGGCTCAGTGGTAAAGAATCTGCCTTACAATGCAGGGGACATGGGTTCAATCCCTGGTGTAGGGAGATTCCAATAGGTCTGCATGCCCGCAATGAAGATCTGATGCAACCAAATAAAAACAATTTTTTTTTAATTTATAAAGATTGAAAAGAAACCAGCAATTGTTAGGAGTATGACTATTATTCCAAATTTTGTGCGAGTTTTACATTACCCCACTATTTTGGAATTTCTGGAATCTGCTTTATACCCTCTTGGGAGAACGGCAGGTTCATCAACCTCTGGTCCGTCGCATCATTCCTGCAGAGCCCTGCCGGCAGTTCTGTGATCCATCCTCAGACTTGGGTATATTTCACGTGAACTGATTTTAAACAGATGTCTCACACTCTTCCCTTATCAGTCTAAGATTTCAAATACTAATAGCTTCTCCTCTTCAGCATCAATTTGGAGAATAGTGCCCTCGATGGAGATGGCAGCAGAATAGAGTTTGCCTTAGTTTGCTCTTTGCTTTCACTAATTTTCTCATTCCAGGCATAGATTTAAAACTCATCCATGTCGTCCTTGGTGTTTTTATGAGCTTCATTTTCTCTCTTTCCCAACATACTTATGGCACTTACTCAAAGCGAGAAAGTTCCCAGGCTGACTTTTGCCATAGTTTGTGTGGAATGTTGCACCCAGCTTATGAAGACATCTTGGGCTCCGGGACAGAAGTAGGAACAGGCAGAGTGGGACCTCGTGACTGGTGACTTAGTGGTGACAGAGAGCCAACCATGGTGGTCAGTGGGCATCCACTTCTCAGATCATCCAAACTCCTGCCCCGTGCTCACCATCCCCTGTGTCTCCCACGTGTGTGTTTCGTGTTGACCAGCTGGTTCACTGGGACAGCGTCTGGTGCAGAGGACTGAGGGGTATTGGGCAAACAGGGATGTGTGAGAAATGCCAGTCCCCAAAGGAGCCGTTTCTAGACTGGGATCAAACATACGCACAGATGACTCCCGCACAGGATGGTTTGTGGTGGGAGCATGACATTGACAAGAACCATAAGAGTCCAGGGAGAGAGAATCCTCCTAGCAAGGTGACTAAGAAAAGCTCATTCAATCTGAGTCTTCAAAGATGACCTAGATTTCAGTAGATGGTGGCTGAGAGTTGCTAGGGAGACAGCATTCCAAGTTCAGGAAACAAGTATGGAAGAGACACAACACATTTCACAGAACTATTGGATGTGTGGGGGAAACAGCTTATTTTTAAAGTAAGAGGTATAAAGTGGGAGGAGAGTGTAATTTGGGTGTTCCCATTGATAAATGTGCAGAATGTTGCTCAGAGTTCCCAGGGCTCTTTCTCTGGAATTACGCCTTCCTTCCTTGCTAGTAATCAGCCTTAAAAGAACCATCGGTAGCCATGCCTCCTGCCCAGATGCCCGCCTCCTCTTCTCCCTTTCAAGCAGAGCTAAGGAGGAACAGGAAGGTGGTTACAAGAATTGGCACTC